CGCACTCTGAGACGTCGTGCCCAACGGCAATCCGTCAACTACTGTGCCGTATAGGGAAGCGCCCTCAGTTTTTATCACAGCAATCGCCTCAATATTACCTTTAATAGCTTCTTTTCGCTTTTACGGCTTGTAAAACCTCAGTCCTTTCGAGTGTTATTTTGGTGCTACAACACACCAAAATGCTCGGAGTGACTTAATGGATTAAGTTTGAGAACATAGATATTTTCCTAGATTGGTTTCCATTACTTATGTATGTAAACACTTTTGCTATGCATACATATCGATGAGGAAATGTAGAATTAAATTAGAAAATTAGTTTTTTGCATTCCCAAGGAGCTTATACTAAAACCCATCTTCGCTAAAAAAATTAAAACCGTAACTCAACAAGTAATTTTTAAGCAAAAAACAAAACCGACTTCAATTCTCATATAAAAATATATATATATACATATATACATACAGTATTGGACATATCTATAGCACCCCCCTTTCAAAGCGATATTGTTTGCCACTTATGTTTAGTTTTTTTTTTTTTACGAATTTTCAATTAAAATACAGTTCATTCTCTAACAAAACCCATATAAACCCATGTTTTAAACTTTTTAAAAGACCGCAAAAAAGCGCAACAAACTTTCCCTTAAATTTCAAACTTTTTTCTCAGAAGCTCTAGAATTTTTTTGAGTACACAGTTTTATAGCGCATTAAATTTTAGTCCAATAATGTGCAAGTTTCAAGTCACTAAAGATTACCGTTGATTTTTTAGAATTTTTTTTGTCTCATTTGCTTCCATATAACGACTAAACACAATTTATTTTTATATGGCAGAAACCCGCAACATCCTCGGCGAAAAAAATCTAAAAAATCAACGGTAATTTTTAGCCACTTGAAACTTGCACATTATTAGACTAAAATTGAATGGGCTATAAAACTGTTCAACAATTCAATCGTTATCTTACCAATGCAAACCTCGTTTCTCTCTTCGTCAAATTAGTATTATCTGATTTATCTGATAAGTTCTCTCACCTGAAAGAAAAACAAAAAACCGCAATTATAAATTAGTTTATGGACTGAAAATAATTTGCACTTAATAATCAAATTAAAAATTGTTTAGAACAATTTATGCATAAACTTTTTACGGTAGTAAAATTTCTAATAATTAAATATGTATTTTACAAGCATTTACTAATTAAAAACGTAAATATTCTAACTTTAGCAGCTCAACAAGCTTTCCATTCATAATCTAATATTTTTCTTATTTTTATTTACAGCTCTCGTCAGACGTCACCTGGTTTGCCTCGTGTGGCACTTGCATACCTTTACAATGAGCAAGCGCAAAAAGCTACTGCAACGATTCACAGCGTGATACTTGAAGAATAAAATAAAATCAACTTCCCCAAGCCAACAAACCAAACAACAATCGTATTATTTTCTTAAAATTAAACCACAAAATACTTCGCGCACACGCACAACTTTAGCGATCCAAAGAAAATGGTACTCAATCTACTCTTCATTACAACTGTGATAAAGTCCACTTTCGGCGTGGTCACCACCGGCCTCTGGCTCATACCGCTGCTCCTCGCCGCCATAACCTACTACCGTTACGACAGTGTCGATCCGGAGGCAAGACCAATTGATCAACTAAATTTATATACCGAATATGATTTCATCATAGTGGGTGCCGGTTCGGCCGGTGCAGTGGTAGCTAATCGCTTGACGGAGATACGCAAATGGAAGGTGTTACTCATTGAAGCGGGTCCAGATGAAAATGAGATCTCCGACGTACCATCTCTAGCAGCATATCTCCAGCTGAGCAAACTCGATTGGCAGTACAAGACGCAGCCCTCCAACAAAGCCTGCCTCGGCATGAAGAATAATCAGTGTAACTGGCCGCGTGGCAAGGTGCTCGGCGGTTCCAGTGTGCTGAACTATATGCTCTATGTGCG